TCTTTACGACTGGGAAAGGGATAGGGTTGACTTGGAACTGTATGTTCCTCTGGAAAGCAATGTACTTCAAAGCTAAAGTTGTTACTTTCATTGTCTGAAGTACTACCTATACGCTATTACGTGTGACTTACTTAAGTTTTTGAAAGTTGTCTAAGAAAGATTTAAAGGTCCGAAAACTCAAATTGAGGCTACTATCGACGCCAAAAAAGAATAGGTTATTTCTGAGTTGCTCTAAGCCTCTTTTTCAAAGCGAGGCTGTAGTGCGAAGCTATTGATTTGAAAATATGGTTTTATTCTCATGCAAATGAATCTGATTTTCACACAGAAAAAAGGGATTTGCCCTTAGCCTTGTTTTAAAAGTGAGGGTTTTTGGAACCCAGAAATAGCCTATTTTAGGCCAAGGCCAAAGGTCGAACTTTTCATGGGACGAACTAAACTCCAATTTGGGTCGACCTAACATAAGTTAAGATCTAAAAAAAAAAAAAAAGTTAAGATCTTCTGCTGGGTCAGACGTCGAACTTAGGACGCGTCGAACCAATCAACTGAATCAGACCAAAAAGCAGTTTTAGCCGCACGAGTCGGGCTAAATATTCGTTGTCTCACAAATTTTACTATATTACTTTAATTCTTCGTATGTGAAGCTCGACGTTTCTCCCGGAGACGATGTTCAGACGTGCCATCCGTCTGACGCAGACATAGAACGTGTTGGACGATACAAACTCATTCACACGATCCAAACTGAGCCAGACGTCGAAATTTTCATGAACTTAACTCAGTGAGTTTAATTCGTCTCATAAAAAGTTCGACGTGTGGCCTAGGCCTTACTCGGGAGCAAAGCAAACTCATATCCAGTCTCCTTTGTAACGCGCACAAAGGGAGCAGTGGGTGATGGGAAGGTAGAAGAGACGAAGACTGAAAAAATCTGGTTTCTATATAACTGCTACTATCACTAGAATCATTTAGATCGCTGGACTACCCTTTTCAGTCATTGTATCGATTATGATTTAAAAACCAGGTCTACCTGCTGACTATCGATTCCAAACGTTTTTTCCCCTTTTCGGTTCTTTATTAATACGGTAATACTGTGTCCTCTTCTCTCCTCCATTAATAAAGCCGCCCAAACTCCCCCTTGAGAACTTCACGCTTCTAGCCCTTGCTTCTAGCGCATACTAACATGTGTCAGAATAGTATCCCAGCGTGACATTTCGACCACGGAGAACTTTAACGTCAAGCGTCAGACACTGGCGGTATGATGCCTAAAAAAATAATTCGAGTTTGTTAGCAGAGAGAAGCTTAGATCCTTTCATTGCTAACTAACTTGCTTAGCTGAAGGTTTTGTTGGGGAAGGGTAATGTTGTGAGAGAGCGAGTGAGCGGCGAAACCGACAGGAGAGTGGGGCAGAGGCAATGGGCTTCGCCACATTTGCGCCCTCATTCGCCTCATTTGCGCCCTTTCACCAAATAGAACCACCAGCTACGCAGGCAACGTTTTGGTCACTTTTAATAGTGGCCAGTGCGAAATCCAAAGAAAAACAATAACAATAACGATAATGATAACGATTCACCTATATGAAAGTACATAACAAAAAAATGACATACATAAAAAAAAGTATGTAACGCGTGGTACTTCATCGACTATAACAGTTGAACAAGAGCAGAAAATAGACGGACAAGTGGTCATGTTTTGTTACTCAGAGTGTCATGCTTCTTGCGAAGCAATCATCACGGTTTTCATCAGGCAACTGCTTTCTCCTCTGCAAAGGCTCCCGCTGAGTGTTCCGATAAAAATAGCTGTAATCAAAAAATAGAAAGAGCGGGAGGACATGCGATGGGAAGAGGGAGAAGCCTCTCTTCCAGCTCTTTCACCTTCCCATCGTTCCCCGCGCTTTCAATTTTCTTCTCTCCCCAGGTTCCATACGACACAAAGAAGCTTCTGCCAAAAGTAACGGTTACAATCAACGATACACAAAGAAAAGAAAACAATACACACACACACACACAGAACTGTATACTAGGCGTGGCGCGTGGCGTGTGATGCATCATTAGGGCAGTTTTCAATAGCAATTTCCTTGAATGTCTACAACCTGATATCAATCCAGTTCTATTTTTTCAGGGTAGACATTTCTGGTTTGCAAATTATGGAATATTTCTCCCACGTGCACAAGTTACATTTCTTGGTGACGTTTGAATATAAGTCCGCTTGCATCTATGCGCCATTTGACGGAAAACTGGACGTTCGTATCTTTCAAGCTCCAAATAAATGTGTTGCGTGCTTTGTACCGTTCGCTGTTGAATAAGCACCTGTGTTTTCCGCCTCTTATTTCTAAAAAAGGTCGGATTGTATTGTCTGATTTTAGTCTTCCTGATCCTAGGACTGATTGGTGTAGACATCTCTGTGCTGCTTGGTATATCATATCCTGTTAGTTACAGTTTCCGTCCAAGGGACATGCGTTGGAAATTCCAGCAATAAATTTTTATTTACATGACACTGCCATATATCAGGCGTTTTTACCCCTTTATGAAAGACATGTAGACATATCCATGCAATTCCTGTTTCTCTGGAATCGCGTTTTTTATCAGTTGGAATCGCGGAGGGTGCTGGAATTTAAACCGCAATGTCGTTGCGCAGAAACGCTTGTCGCGCTGAAAAAATCCATCAATACCGTCACGCATCAGTACTCATGTTATATTTTTTACGCAGGGTAATTTTACTGTAATATCTGAACAAAAGTAATAGAGTGCATCGAGTAAATTGAATTTAAATTGAATTTATATTTCTTACATCTTCATGCCATGCACTTGAATAAACTCAAAAGAACGTAACGAATCGTTTTTCAAAAAATAACGATCATGCAATTATAGACGCAACTTTTTCAGAATCAAAAAGGAAGCCTGAACGCTTGTAAAGACCTTGGACCCCCTCAACCCCTAACAATGTTGAATATTCAGATCCCGTGCAGATGTTGCAACAGCAAATCGGGTTTCCTGCAGTACAAAAAAGGGTCATCGCACTGATATCTCCCGGCGATTAGGCCTTTATAAGTGTGGAATCTGAACAGCATTCTTAAATTAAAGTTCGCGGGTTTACTTGAACAGATACCGGCTACAAAACGATATGATTCATGTACTCCGGCCACCACTCGGCGTTTCAACTTTCAGTATATTCTCTCTTAACAGCGATGTTTTGAAGAAATGTAAGGTAGACTTTTTAAAACTGGTTCTGGGGAATGTAGTCTTACAACTGGGACAAACGCCGCACTTCACAAGAGCCGAACTTAAATATAGTTTGTGTCGACCTAAATTATTAATTTTGCCTGTTGGGTCAGATGACCTCGATTTTAAAGCAGCAGAACTATAAAAAAAAGGCAGAACCATTACCGATCAGCTCAAATCAAACGTGAGATTCTGGTAATTATCACTATCCAGACTATCCATGATTGTTAGGAATTGGCGCTCTATGGGATCTATTGGCAGTCAGTAATTAAATCAACCGGCTCTTGAATGGCTGAGTATAATACGTACCTGTGCTAATGTAGACATATTTTTTTGGAGCCTCTAAGATGTTCCGTTGTACGTGTTTTATCATAAGCCGAAGCTAAGGTAGATGACGAATGGGTTATTTACGAAAACTTCCAACTTGCGCAGCATCAGCTGAGCGGAGCAGAATCGCTAGTGTGGGCTAACATAAAATCCATGATTACAAAGCGGTAGTTTCGAAAACGAAACACTCGAAAACGAAGACCGAAGCACGAAGCACCCAAATCTCGAAAACGAAGCACCCTATCTCGAAAACGAAGCACCCAAAACTCGAAAACGAAAACCCCTAAATCTCGAAAACGAAGCACCCTAGATCGAAAACGAAGCACCCGCAGCTTCGTGCTGCGGTCTTCGTTTTCGAGTGCTCCGTTTTCGAAACTACCATTACAAAGCAGGGGTGCTCATGACAACGAGAGCATAGTTCAAAACCACTTAAGCATATCATTGTTAAACGTATTTTAGTATTTAAACTGTAGATATAGGCAATTTTACAACAAATGTTCTGAAAAATCCAGATCTCAAATCGTCTTCCGAACAGATATTTTCCGAAATTTGACGTTGGGTTAATACCCTATACTCGTTGCTTCGCCGACGAGTTAACCAATAGAGGGCAACGCCGTGTATATAGCTTGCGTAGCTAGCGGTATTGTTAATCTCGTCTGTCTGTTCTCGTGGTTCCACCATCAAAAAACAATAGCACTCGTCCCGACAGGTACGCAGGCTACCGTGTATTTGAAATAAGTTCAAATGATGAAAGAGCTGGTCGAAGTAAACAATTTATGCTCTTTGCAAGCAATTTCTATAGAAAACTGCTGAACTGCTTGGTGGCGAGAACGGTAACTGATCCCATACATCTGCGAAACTAAGAAACTATTCAGTATTTTGACTTTGTTAAGGTCAAGTAATACGGGCAACATTTTCGCACAACTTGTCGCGCAACATTGTTGCGTTGCAAGTTGAAAAGCGTTGTTGCTCGTATTACCACCTTCGCTCTTAACTTGTCACGCAACAAATTTCGATGTTGCAAGTTGTGGCAACATGTTGCGCAAAGTTGACCTGAGTTCTACTTTTTGCAACAAACTTTCAATTTTATTATTTGCGTCACAACTTGCTACGCTTCACAACACCTGTGATTGGTCAATTTTCCCGCACCAAAAACGCCGGAAAGATGGTGAGTAAGCGCGCTCTTCACCTTGGGCATATTTGGGCAGGAAGTAAACATGGCCGAGGTTGTGGAGGTTGAGAATGTTGAAACCCAAGATTGTGAATTTATTAGTGAAAAAATGTCAGAGGCCCAAAGAAAAGATTTGTGCAAAGAACTTGAAAAGCACCCGTGTCTGTGGGAAACTTGTGGACCAGAGTATAAAAACAAGCCACGAAGGTCAAGAGCTCTGGATGAGTTATGCCAAAAATTTAATATTTCACCAAGCTGTCTCAAAAAACAACTACATAGCCATAGAAACTGAGTGGACTGAAGAAGAAAGGGAGCAATTGATCGAGTTTTACAAGCAAAACGACCAGCTATGGAATCATCACCTTACTTCATATAGGGACAGAAACTTGAGAGACTTAAATTTCAAGAAGCTGTGTGAAATTCTACCGAACAGAAGCCAGGATGATGTTAAAAAACAGTGGAGTTCGTTAAAAACCATTTTCTACCGGGAATTAAAAAGGGAAGAAGACACGAAGGTGAGTGGAGCGGGTACCGACACGGCATACTTTTCCCAATGGAGACATTTCAAAGCAATGATGTTCATAAAAGGGAGCGACGATGTAGACCCTGCCGTTACTACCCTTGCAACTGCTGATGAAAAAGAAAACGAGAGACCAGCCAAGAAAACAAAGGCAGATAAATCGAGAGAAATGGACGAAATAAAATTGGATTTTTTCAAGGAAGCCGTGAAATGCCTTCAAAGTCCAGCAGCAGCAAGTCAGGAAAACAATGATTCAGTCAGCTTGTTTGTGAAGTCACTGGAGTCTCAGTTACGACGGTTTTCTGGTCGACAACTTGCTATAGCAAAGAAAAGGATTAACGATGTCATTTTTGATTTGGAAATGGAATGCTACGTTCCTCAAGGTACACTTGCTCCTACAAGTACATGTAGCTCGCTGTCTACAGGCCTCAATGCTTTCAACCCACAAGCTCCAGTAACTAGTTTGAACTCTGACAATTTTACCTGGTCTTTTCAGTAAACGCTTTGTAGTCCGATTTGCATGAAATGGCGCCAATATTTTTTTATAATGCATACACTTCCCGAGCCTCACATTCGTGTGAAAAGTCGTGTCTAAAACTTTAGTCTTAAAATAATCATGAACTCAAGGGCAAATGAAGGATGTGCCGGTATATTTCAGAAAGTATAAGCGCCACGGGGTAGTTTTTAAACGTGTTCAGTTATGTTGTAATATCACTCAAAACTAGGGTTTAATGTTCAGGTATATTGCAGTGCTCTTTCAAGATTCAAAGACGTTATTATCATAGCTTGATCAAATAAACGATAAGCGACTGTGAATGAAGCACGAAAATGTAAACAAAGATTCACCTGTATGAAAGAACATAACAAAAAAATGACATATAAAAAAAAGTGTGTAACGTGGAGTACTTCATCGACTATAACTGTGCTTAACTGTTGAACGAGAGTAGAAAATAGACTGATAAGTGTTTCTTGAATATGTTTTGCTACTCAGAGTGTTATGCTTCTTGCAAAACACTCATCACTGGTGTCATCAGGCAACTGCTCTCTCCTCTGCAAAGGCTCCCGCTGGGTATTCCAATAAAAATAGCAGTAATCGAAAAATAGAAAGCGCGGGGAGACGATGGGAAGAGGGAAGAGCCTCTCTTCCATTCTTTCTCCTCCCCATCGTCCCCCACGTTTTTAATTTTTCCCTCTCCCCAGGTTCCCTACGATACACATAGAAAAGGAAACAATTCATACTAGGTGTGGCGCGTGGCGCGTGGCGCGTGGCGCGTGGCGCGTGGCGCGTGGCGCGTGGCGCGTGGCGTGTGGTGCGCGGCGCCTCATTAGGGCAGTTTTCAATAGCAATTTCCTTGAATGTCTACAACCTGATATCAATCCAGTTCTATTGTTCAGGGTAGACATTTCTGGTTTACAAATAATGGAATATTTCTCCTGCATGCACAAGTTACATTTCTTGGTGACGTTTGAATATAATTCTGCTTGCTTCACTTTGCGCCTTTTGTTGGTACACTGGCCGTTCTTATCTTCAAATAAATGTGTTGCGTGCTTTGTACCGTTCGCTGTAAAATGAACACCTATGGTTTCTGCGTCTTAGTTTTAAAAACGTCGCGTTGCATTGTCTTATGTAAGTCTTACTGATCCTAGCACTGATTGGTGTAGACATCTCTGCGCTACTTAGTTTATCATACCCTGTTGGTTACAGTTTCCGTACAAGGGGCATGCGTTGGAAATTCCAGCAATTAAATTTTTATTTACATGACACTGCCATATATCAGGCGTTTTTACCCCTTTAATTCAGATTTTTCATGGTTAGTTATGATGCTGCTTTTGATGTAGATAAAAAATGGTTCTTCCGCACATCGCCCCCAGAACGCCCGAGAGAACGCCCGAGAGAGTTTTCTCGTAGGCAATAATAACCTGAGAACAGGCGGTCTCCCCCCCTTTTTTAAAGACATGTAGACATATCCATGCTCTGGAATCGATTTTTTTATCAATTGGAATCGCGGATTGCGTAGCTGATTAGCCTGCGTATCCGCGTATTGTTCCGTGCGTGTTTACCCTGCGAGCAGAGTCTTCTTCGATCTTCCTTCCTCTTCCCGATATTTCCTAGGAAGATCGAAGGAGACTCTGCTCGCAGGGTCATACGTGTTGGAATTTTGTCGTTGGACAGAAACGCTTGTCACGCTGAAAAAGCCTATGAATACCGTCACGCATCCGCCCCTCATGTTACAAAATGCAAATTTTCCACTTTTTACCCTTTTTTATACAGGTTAATTTTAACATCTGAACAAAAGTTTTTGCTTAGCGAGCACAAATATACCAAACAATACATTGCGAAAACAAAGTACAACTTACATAATAGAGTGCATCGATTAAATTGAATTCAAATTGAATTTAACTCTTATACCTTCATGCCATGCACTTGAATAAACTCAAAAGAACGCAACGAATTGTTTTTCAATAAATGACGATCATGCGATTATAGACGCAACTTTTTCAGAATCAAAAAGGAAGCCTGAAGGCTTGTAAAGGCCTTGGACCCCCTCAAACCCTTACAATGTTGATTGTCCAGATCCCATGCAGATGTTGCAACTGGCAGCAAATCGGGTTTCCTGCAGTACAAAAAAGGGTCATCGCACTGTTATCTCCCGGCGATTAGGCTTTTATAAGTGTGAAATCTGAACAGCATTCTTAAATTAAAGTTCGCGGGTTTACTGGAAAACCAGGACTGGTAGATTTAAACGGTGCAAAGATACCGGCTACAAAACGATGTGATTCATGTACTCCGGCGGCCACCATTCGGCGTTTCAACTTTCAGTATATTTTCTCTTAACAGCGCTCTCTTGAAGAAATGTAAGGTAGACTTATTAAAACTCGTTCTGAGGAATATAGTCTTTATCTTACAACTGGGACAAACGCCGCACTTCACAAGAGCCGAACTTAAATACAGTTTGGGTCGACCTAAATTATTAATTTTGCCTGTTGGGTCAGACGACCTCGATTTTAAAGCAGCAGAACATTAAAAAAAAAGGCAGAACCATTAACGATCAGTTTAAATCAAACGTGAGATTTTGGTCAGTATCACTATCCAGACAATCCATGATCGTTACGAATTGGCGCTCTATGGGATCCATTGCCAGTCAGTAATTAAATCAACCGGCTAATGGCTGAGTATAATACGTACCTGTGCTAAGGTAGACATAATTTTTTTTGATATGTTCGCAACGCAACCTCTTAGATGCTCCTTAGTAGCTGTTTTATCTAATTTACACTCTTCACGGGCTATTAGGCCTCGCATACAACTTCCTACCGTTTCCTGACTGGAATCGAATTTTTCTTGGGTTGATCGTGGTGACTAAGAAACAAGTCTTTCCCCGCGGGCTCTTTGCGAAGAGTTGCATGGAACGAGAGCGAAAACGTCCAACTTGCGCGGCATCAGCTAAGCGGAGCAGAATCGCTTGTGTAGGCTAATATAAAATCCATGATTACAAAGCAGGGGCACCCAACGACTGAACATAGTTCAAAATAACTTAAGCATAGCATTGTTAAACGTATTTTAGTATTTAAACTGTAGATATAGCCATATTTTTGTCCCCTAAAAATTTTCATCTGTTCGGAAAAAAGGCTCCCGAAAATTCTAGGTGACCTCTGTAGGGTTAAAATCCGTTAAAAATGGGCAATTTTTTATACCATTTTTTAGATGCTCGAAAATCCTAGGAGAAGCAGGCAAGCAAGAAATTTTACAACAAATGTTCCGAAAATTCTAAATCTCAAATCTTTTTCCGAACAGTTTCCGAAAATTAACGTTGGGTGCCCCTGACAAAGTCATGAATTTACACGACGATAGTACCTACCCGTCATTATGCCCATCAATAGGCAATTAATTCATCCAAACAAAGATGAATTCCATTTTTGCTCAGTTTGTTTGTCTCTGTTTTCTGTTTTTTTCAGTTTTCCCTTTTCAGGTGGGCGCTATAGACTTAATAAAATGAATCAGATATTTCGAAACATCCTTCATTCAATTTTGAACACCTTCTTGCGCATCTGAATTAATTCAAATGCAAGGAACCAACACTTTAGGGCGGAGTGAATTCTTGAACAAAACGACTGGCAATTTGATGAAGCCGCTATACTCGTTGCTTCGCCGCGAGCCATTAGAAACGAGGTAAGAAAAAAGAAACTGTATAAAATGTAAAACCACCGATACGCGGGGTTTACGCTAATCTATGTCCTAGTTTTTAACTGGGGTTCAATAACGTCTGCGACGTTACCTGCAAACGGCCACAACAACTTCTAACATTGTTGGGCCAACAATTTCTGGAAAGTACCATGCGCTGTACAATTGGCGCTCTGAATGGGGTTCTAGTGGCTAACAGTTATTGAATCAACCAGCTAATATCTGCTCACATACGTACCTGTACCGAGGTAGACATTTTGTACTATAGTGAGGTCCCTGATGTTTGCTCAGTGAGATCCAACCTGGACTGGTTATATACCAGACGCATTTAATGCATACAGTGAACACACCACTTACGTACGCTGCATAAATTATAGATATGAAAGTGAGAACTTACTTAATGAATCTCAAGGGACTATTGACAGTCCAAACATCTTTTAAGAAGCCCCCTCCCCTAAGAAAAAAGAACAGGGAGAGACACATGTGTATCACGCCGACGTTAATCGTGTTCCAGTCACATTTGCATAAATCAATGTGAAGCGTTAGAATGGATCATTGCATTTTCTTATTTCATTTTTTTTCAGTAGTTGGTTCGCTACCGCTGAGATATTTAGATTGCAACAGGAATTATCGTAGGATAAGATAATTAGAAGTAAAAATGTTGTATTCAATCGGGTATTACTAGCTTAATCGTACACAAGGATTAGTACCATGCTTAATGAATAGAAAATAAGTGAACGTGAGAGCAAAGAACTAAGACGTGACCACGCCGAATTACGCATCTGGGTGGGGACTTCTTTAGCCAATATACGCAGCGTTTTCTTAAAATTTAGTTAGTTAGATCGTAGAACGGAACGTGTGATGTACAATTGTGAAGAAGAATTAAGTCAGATTTGTACAAAAGTATACAGTCCTCGATTGTCGGACCAGCGTGTGCAATTTTTTTTTGCTTTTCCTCGGAAATCCAGGAGACACCTTTGAGAAAAATGTCACCTGGAATTTGAGACCACCTTCTTTGTTAAACCAAAACATTTTAGACCACAGGCAGCCCAAGCTCACGTCACGTGAAAGGATTAGATTAATTATTAGCGGTGTGCGAGCCGGGACGTGACTGTTCAACGAAAGCGGTATTGGGTTACATGGCGGCCGTGAATTTATAAAGGATTTGTATGGGAATCCACGTTATAGATTTAGGAAGATAAATACTCGTAGAAATTCTCAATAAAAAACGTCTTACCTTATTTACATGGTGTGTTCTTGCTTGCTGTGTGGTTATTTTCCCGATCCGGTGCGATTTTAGCGANTTTTACTGTTTCATC